TTTGTTGAAAGCTGTTGTGCAGCTTAATTTTTTTGGTGGAAACCATGATTATTTCAATATGCTTTGATTTATAGAAAGTTCAAATAAACAGCATTTATTTGAAATATAGGTATTTCCCCCCTCATATCCCCCCGAGACGAGAGATTTATGTATTTTTTGTCTCCGATGACGCAAAAAACGTCATTTTGAGAGGCTAAAGACTCCGGTCAGTAGTCGGGTCTGTCCCGCATGTCCTCAACCCGCCCATAGAGGGCGATCTCACTCACAGAATGAACACATAGTGTCGGCCATCTTGTTTTGGAAGCTAAGCTAGCAGGCTCTTGTTCTGTGGAGAAAGCTGAGTAGTCGGGGTTCCCGTCCTCTTTTTCCCGGACACGTCCAGCCGTCGATGCAGTCGCCATTCATTGCACAGCTTTTGTTTTTTTGTTTTTAAATTCTCAATTTAATGCCATTTCTGTTTATAAGCAATTAGCGGTATAAAAGTTTTTTCTTTCTTTCGCGATAGTGTATTTTGCAGGAATGATCCTGACAGATCTTTCGCTCTGTCTTTCTCCCTCTGAGAGTATATTTAGTTAAGCTGCCACTGATAACACAAGTTATCACTCTGTGACGCCAGTGAAACATTCACTGTTTCTGTGTGTTTTCACATTTCCTGTGGATATTAATTTTGCGTAGGAAGCTCACCTAGGGTGCAGATGTCAGTGCCACGTTCATAAATGTGAGCGGATCTCTCTCTGTTCATCTGAAGGGCTACGTGACACAATTTTCAAATGTCTTGCGAAGAAATAATCAGTATGGGTTTCATGACCTTATTTCAGTTACATTTTTTTTCTCACAAACCATGCATAAACGTCATTATCTCAAAACTACTAACTTTTACATACATGCTGTGGATATACACTCACCTAAAGGAGTATTAGGAACCCCATACTAATACTGTGTTTGACCCCCTTTCGCCTTAATTCTACGTGGCATTGATTCAACAAGGTGCTGAAAGCATTCTTTAGAAATGTTGGCCCATATTGATAGGATCGCATCTTGCAGTTGATGGAGATTTGTGGGATGAAGCTCCCGTTCCACCACATCCCAAAGATGCTCTATTGGGTTGAGATCTGGTGACTGTGGCGGCCATTTTAGTACAGTCAATTTATTGACATGTTCAAGAAACCAATCTGAAATGATTCAAATATTTTCTAGAAATAAAAGTTCCAGATACAGCATATTCATTTTTCATCAATTCTTGCACCAAACAACACAACAAGATGACATTTAATAATAGTAACAATTATTTAAGCTCCTTATTATGTAGCCGAATCTGTGCTGTTTTGCATTGACCGCCTCCAGTTTTCACTTGGTTTTTCCTCCAGCTAGCGGCGTGACGTAACTGTGACGTCGGCGCAAAAGGGGTCTATACACTCTTAAAAAAGGGTTCCTCTGGGTTCTATATAGAGGGTTTCCATACTTGGCCAATAGAACCTTTTACCAAAAAAAAAAAAAAAGGTTCTATATAGAACCATTTTTGAGTTCCATATTTGAAGCGGGGGATGGAACCATTTCTGGTTCTAAATAGAACCATTTCTTCTAAGAGTGTTGCAGATTCATCTCAGATACTTTAATTTTAGATTGGAGGGATGTTGAATTACCACAAATGCTTTAAATCTTCCAGTGTGTGTGTGTGTGTGTGTGCTGATCTGGTGTCAGGATGTCTCACCCTGTAATCACCGCTGGGAAAGCGAGAGCCGCTGTGGATCGCTGATGGCTTCGGCCACGTTCTAATCACTCCTTTTTGAAAACGAACAGAAGGCAGAAAAGCTGAGGGAGAAGGTGCTCTGATTGGGAGCGGGATGAAGAGAAGCTCCTCACAGGAAAGAGGTCTCGGCCTGAACGGATCCCCTCTGGCTCAAGTGGCCTTGTTGGAGAGACCAAGCCAAAGTCAGACAACTGTAATCAGCTGTCCACAAATACTGTCATTCACTAAATCAGGGGCCATGGAGGATAAGAGAGTGTGTGCGCGTGTGTGTGTGTGTGTGTGAGAGAGGCTCTCATTCTTGTCTTGGAGGAACCGTGTGTGTGTGTGTGTGTGTGTCATAGAGAGGCTCTTCAGAGAGGCTTTTCAGCTCTGGCAGTGGCTCTACTGCAAAACTCAGATGTTAGAGCTCATGATTTGGTTCGCTCACTTTTCCCCCCTTTTTTAAATATCTTTACTTTTAAATGTGAAAATGTCATTTTACAGAACAAATGCCGGTTTTTTTTTTTCAAATACCGTTTTTTCAATACCGTTTTTCAATACCTTTTTTTTTCAAATACCATTTTTTCAATACTGTTTTTTTCAAACACCGTTTTTTCAATACCATTTTTTTTCAAATATCGTTTTTCAATACTGTTTTTTTCAAATACCGTTTTTTTCAATACCTTTTTTTTCAAATACCGTTTTCTTTTTCAAATACCGTTTTCTTTTTCAAATATCATTTTTTCAATACCGTTTTTTTTTCAAATACCATTTTTTCAATACCGTTTTTTTTTTTCAAACACCGTTTTTTCAATACCATTTTTTCAGATTAAACTATTTATCCCCTTAAAGGGATAGTCTTTGTTTCCACTTTGTTTCAATTTTTATATTTTTAGGTCACTTGGACGTGGCTGTGATTACAAGAAGTAAAAACGATATAAACACTGTTCGTTTTCTCACACAAACCGCTCGCAGGGTTTTAGGTTGGCACCATTTATAGTTGATCCAAGAGCTAAAACACTAGCGCCACTTTCTTTGTATTTTTTAAGGGATGGTCCACCCAAAAATAATTCACTCACCCTCATGTCATCCCAAAGCTGGATGCATTTCTTCTGCAGAACACAAAATACATGAAGAATATTGAGGACTAAACAACATTGGAACCCATTGACTTCCATTGTATGATCAAAAAAAAAAAACCCACAATATCTTCATATCACAGAAGAAAGCAAGTCATATACAGGTTTGGATTGAGTAAATGATGACAGAATTTCCATTTTTCGGTGTATTATCCCTTCTTTATCGATATAGAGGTTTATTTTTTTCCCCGAAGTTATAATGCTGGTAAACCTTTTCTGTCTCCGTGTCTTTAAGAATTCTTTATGCAAATGACCTCAATATTAGATATCACGCTCTTTATTTCAAAATAGAGGCTGGATATCTATCTTGTTTTCCATATGGCTGATGTTGTTTACCCCTAATGTCCCTTAAAATCCTTCAGCAAAAAAGACACCATTCCGGTCCATTTAATTCTATTCGGTTTAATTCTATCGAGGCTCGGAGAGGGAAAGATGTCCTTGAGAAACACCAGTGACCCTGCGACAGATATCTCACACACTCGAACACACTCACTGCAGCAGAGAGGAGGCCGTGTCCTTCTGGGAACCCGAGAGAGGTCATTCAGTGTCTTGAGTGTGTCCTTGTCCTGCTGTTGGAGTCTCCGTCTCTAAAACACAAGCAGGTGTGTGAGCAGATTGGTGGAAAAGTTACTCTTCTCCTCCATTTCTCCGGCTCCTCCATGTGTTTCTGAGCTGGGAATACATCTTCATAACTCGGATCTCATTTTAATAAGTGTCAGAAGCAGATTCCTGCGCAAATAATGGGCGACGTGCTCATGTTATCGCTAGCCTCTTCCTATATCTCCTAGAGAGAAATGCCGCTGCTCTCTCAGGCAGGAGGGCCCCGTGTTTACCCACTCTGATGCCGGTGTTATACGTGTTTCCCTCGGAAATAATGCAAGTTGTATAACATGCAAGCTCCTGTCTGTCTCTCTTCTCCAGGAGGATTTAGGCAGTCGTGTCGGGTTGTCACCACAGAGAAAGCAGGATAGAAAGTAATTGCGTTGTTGCAGTGCTTGTAGAAATCCCATCAGCCCTGTGGGCAGGCCTGTCACAGAGCATAAAGAGTAGGCTAAAAACTTAAGCATCTACAGACAGGGCAGGGGAACGCCTCGGATGAAACAACTGCTGCTAGTGCAGGATCAGGGCTAGCTGCTGTTTCCATTAGCCAGATCTGTGCCGATAAGAACAGGGATGCTGGGAAATATGCAGGTTGAACGACCCCGATAACCCCAGAAAGCCTGCTTGTTTTAGGCACTGATCTCCGGCCACTGGCTTGATTTGCATCATGAATGAGTGTCACACAGGCTCATGCAAATAGATATAGATACAGTGCTGGGCGGTTTGACCAAAAATTTATAACACACTTTTTTTTTTTTTTCTTCAAAATTATGACTTTTTTTCTGTCATGTATAATCTGGTGTTCAAAGCATTTTCTACCTGTTGAGAGAGGAATTACTGCAATAAATTGACTTTGGATGGTCTATTGTACTGTTATTAGTGAATATTGTAGAATAGAATAGCGCCCAGTATAACCTAACATTGTTATTTCTTAATATTATTATTATTTCTTTGAACTCAACATAAATGTATGAAAGTTGTTTATATATTATTTAAGAAAGAATTTAGTGACAAAAAGCTCTTGTTTCTTGTATTTTATCTTCACTATTTTTTTAAGTTGTGATTATATGTAAACTTGCAAGTTAAATTCTATAGTCATGTCTTGAACAATGCAATAGAATTTTTTTTTTTTTATAAGTGTTATTTTATAGCGGCCAGTCTTGTCATGTACGGGTCATAAGCTCAAAACTCAGCCCTTTTTTTTATTGTAAACCCAGAAACAGAAACGGATGATAAATCTCATTCTCACTGTCTGTTTGGTAAAAATATCTGCTCTATTTCTGTCATACATCTTAATGTTTGTTGCTAAAACTTAGGAAAATTGATGATTAATTTTTTTCTCTTCTTCAGTATTTTTTTAGAACATTTACAAGTACAGTAAAAAATAAATAAAAATCATGCAAATTTAAACTTCGAACACTTAATAATCTTAATATAATATAATATTATATAATAATATATGAGCGATCTAGGTGTCTGCTGGCTCTGAAGGGTTTGCTCATGTTTTTCTTTTTTCCTGTTTTTCTCCCCAGATGGTCACAAGAACAAAGAAGATATTTGTGGGTGGATTATCCGCGAGCACAGTCGTTGAAGACGTGAAACAGTATTTTGAACAATTTGGAAAGGTAAGACCAGGACCTCACTCCCTAACTAACCTCTTCAGAGACCCATGCCTCGAGACAGGCTGGCTCATGTCTGCTCGGGAGGTGTTCGTTACAGTGCAGGGCTGGAAATGAGGGCGCAGGTGTGTGAGGGCGGTGTGGTTGATGCAGGAAACGGTTGCTGGTCTTTTCAGTGATGTTGAAACTTAGACTGTAGAATGAAGAATTTATATCCAAACATTTACTGCCAAGTAGCCGACGCTGATTAGAACCTGAAAATCTGACTGTGGCTGGGGGCGGGGTTTAAATAACTGGGGGTGGAGTTTGAGTTTGCTGGGTGTGGCTAGAATGACTAGGGGGTGGAGTTTGATTTTGCTGGGTGGGGCTAGAATGACTGGGGCGGGGTTTGAGTTTGCTGGGTGGGGCTAGAATGACTGGGGCGGGGTTAGAGTTTGCTGGGTGGGGCTAGAATGACTGGGGCGGGGTTAGAGTTTGCTGGGTGCGAATAGAATGGCTGGGGGTGGGGTTTGAGTTTGCTGGGTGGGGCTAGAGTGACTGGGGGTGGGGTTTGAGTTTGCTGGGTGCGAATAGAATGACTGGGGGCGGGGTTAGAGTTTGCTGGGTGCGGATAGAATGACTGAGGGCGGGGTTAGAGTTTGCTGGGTGGGAATAGAATGACTGGGGGCGGGGTTAGAGTTTGCTGGGTGGGGCTAGAGTGACTGGGGTGGGGTTTGAGTTTGCTGGGTGGGGCTAGAATGACTGGGGTGGGGTTTGAGTTTGCTGGGTGCGAATAGAATGACTGAGGGCGGGGTTAGAGTTTGCTGGGTGGGAATAGAATGACTGGGGGCGGGGTTAGAGTTTGCTGGGTGCGAATAGAATGACTGGGGGCGGGGTTTGAGTTTCCTGGGTGCGAATAGAATGGTTTCTAATGGCAAAGTTTTTAACCAGCATGCACTGCTTCAGGTAAGATGCAGATAGGTCTAACTTACCTCATGGATGGGCATGAGGGTTAAAGTTGGGTGTGGTGTTTGGGCTGGGAGTTGAACCGTGGGTACAGCTAGATTTGTTTTTGGTTCGGGAATACAGGAGGAGTTGGATTGTTTTATTTTATATTGTTGCCATTCTAGTTTTGGAAATATCAACTCTGAATAAAAGACTGCAGGCTGTTAGAATTACCTGTGTGCTTATGTAAATAAGAATGAATCGGAGAGTAAATATTCTCCACGACAGACGCAATCATCCAGGCTGAGCAGGAATCAGTGTGATTGAATGCGTCGTCTGAAATCAGAGCGCAGTCTCTCTCTCTCTTTCTCACAGACTGGATTCAGCCTCTCTTTCTCAGGTGGATTTTTATGTTTATTAAATAAACTGACCATCCCCTGCACCCTGCCATTATCTCTGTCTGTCTGTGCAGCGCTGAGACTCCCGCTGATGGGAACCCGCTCCTTTAGACTGAGAGAGGCCATTCGCATGTCTGGACTGGACATGTTTGGAATTTCTTAGTGCGCTTAAATGTTGTGAATGTGGTTTATGTGCTTTTGCAATCAGGGTGAATTTGTGTATGTTTCTAAATTTGTGTAAGTGTGTATTTTTTGGTAGTTGTGGCAGTCGGTTACGAACTGAAAGGAGGAAACAGGTGTTGATTTCAGTTTTCTTACATCTGCGGGAAAAAACGTTTTCAGTGTTTTCACCAAGCTGAGCAACAGTGCCTCTTTATCATTCACATCTAATTAAATCTCTCTGTTCTGGTTTATTAGCCTGCACTTTTTGGTTTGGTGCCGGTGGTCCACTGTGATGGAGGTAAAGAAACGTACAATCTGTTATTGAGCACAAACACTGATGTCCTTCACGCAGGTGTGTGGAGAACATACACGAGTGTGTACTGGAGAGTTCACTCAAGTGCAGCTCTGAACATCCCACAGAGACACAGCTGGCCATCGCTCAGAAAACACGAGAGAGAGAGAGAGAGAGACGTCTGCCACCTCAGGGTGCTTGTGCTCTTCCGCTCAGAGGAAACACAGAATTGTTTTCAGAGGTACAATGATGGTGGGGTCAGAGACAGGAAATGTGTTTCAGATATCATGGCAGATGTTTAGTGTGCATTGAGATTTTCTAAATAGCAGGTCGGTAATTTAAAAAAAGGCAGATGACTGTTTCCGTTTGTGTGGCGTCTAAGTGCATCGCTTAATTTAGTGACATGAATGCGTAATAACTGCAGCCAAATGGATTTAATGACCATTAGCAGATGTTCACTGCCCCGGCTACTGCAAAACAACCATTTAAAAACACTGAAATAGACGCAAGAGGTTTTTTTTTTAATCTAAGATTTTGAAGAAAAAAAATAAGAGTGTGCAAGGATGTTTTCTTCTTTTTTTTAAATGGTTTTTGTCACTGAAAATCTAGTGTCTGTGAGCGATAATTGTGATAGCTTTAGTTTCAGGTGCACATTTTCATAACTTTACATTTCGTGGCCTATATAAGACCATATCTGCTTTCAGGGTGTATGTTAGTCATATATTTGCCTACAGCGAGTGCATGTGTGCTGGTCAAATAAAAGCATCTTCGCTTGAAAAGAAATGATGTTTTAGAAATGAGCATGACTCATGGTTTTGCCTGATATTCTTGTGGCTTTGTTGTTTCTCTGTCTTTTGAGATAATGTACAAGATTAGATATTGTACACGTTCAAAAGTTTGGGGTCGGCAAGGATGCATTAAATGATTCAAGTGAAGAGATGTATTATGTTAAAAAAGGTTTCTATTTCAAATAAATGATGTTTTCAGCATTGATAATAATAATGATTCCTGAAGTCCAGTTTTTTTTTTTTTTTAAAAAAGCTGGACTTTTAACTTTTGAGACGCAGAAAGAGACACGATCACAACAGTTAAAGGCATCCATCTAGAGTGTTTACATTGAAAAAAAAAAACATTGAAAAGCGCATTGGAATGGAAAAATGGGTCATCCTACCCATCTCCGGCCCAGATCCCTAACCCCACCCCTAATCCTACCCATCTCCACCCCTGATCCCTAACCCCACCCCTAATCCTACCCATCTCCGGCCCAGATCCCTAACCCCACCCCTAATCCTACCCATCTCCGGCCCAGATCCCTAACCCCACCCCTAATCCTACCCATCTCCGCCCCTGATCCCTAACCCCACCCCTAATCCTACCCATCTCTGCCCCGATCCATAACCCCACCCCTAATCCCACCTATCTCCACCCCTGATCCCTAACCCCACCCCTAATCCTACCCATCTCCGCCCCTGATCCCTAACCCCACCTATCTCCGCCCCTGATCCCTAACCCCACCCCTAATCCTACCCATCTCCGCCCCCGATCCCTAACCCCACCCCAATCCTACTCATCTCCGCCCCTGATCCCTAACCCCACTCCTAATCCCACCTATCTCCACCCCTGATCCCTAACCACACCCCTAATCCTACCCATCTCTGCCCCCGATCCCTAACTCCACCCCTAATCCTACCCTCCTCCGCCTCTGATCCCTAACCCCACCCCTAATCCCACCTATCTCCGCCCCTAATCCCTAACTCCACCCCTAATCCTACCCATCTCCGCCCTGATCCCTAACCCCACCTCTAATCCTACCCATCTCCTCCCCCTGATCCCTAACTCCACCCCTAATCCTACCCATCTCCACCCTTTAGATCTGGATCCAACTCCGCCCCCTGGATCTCGTGTACTGCAATGAGGTGCGACTGGGAAAAAAAGGGAAAACGTCTGTTATTTCTTGTCCTTTTAATTTTAAGCATAGGAAAAATTCTTTAGACAGTCTGTTATCGTGTTGAAGCCTCAATGGCGGTATTGCTGGTTTCCAAGTGAGGTCAATTTGAGGTGGGTTGAATAATGTTCTAATAGACTCTGATTGGATGGGTTTTCTAGTTGTTGTGAATTCTGAAGATGGTGTTTGCATGCAGACAGGCATGAGATGATGTCCCCCTCTCTGACATTTACAGGAGCTGATCACTTGGTTGCCTGTGTGCCCACAGAGACTACAGGAACGCACCCAATGCTGCAGCATGAGTGTGATATTTAGGCTTCATCCCTCTGTAAATGGAGTGTGTCTGTGTGGTGATCTCGTAAATGCTCTGATACTGATCCTGAAACAGGCCAGTGCTCCTCAGGCATCCGTGATACCCAGCGGCATCAGTCTGGCCCATGTGTTTTAGGAGGAGCCATCACTGACAAGCTGAATCTCAGAGAATTTTATGACCAACCTGCGATTGACAGCAGCTCTTCAACCCAAAGAGCAATGACATTCAAGTGTCAGAATTGTCACGTGCTCCTGAGAGTGCTTCTCAAAAGAAAAGTCTTTTGTGCTTTTGACGTGTTTGTAAACACACTGTGAAGCGTTTCCAGGCTTCATAATTGTGCTTCAGAGACGAAGGCTGTTCCAAAAAGTACTTCATTTAATTCTACGAAACGTAAAACGAACGTAAAACGAAAAAATACTAAAATATGAATATATTCATATAATAGTGAAATATATTGATTAAAATGAAGTATGCATGATGTATAGTATTAGGACTGTAATGCCTGGTTCAGATTACACGATTTTAGCCCGATTTTGGCACGATCCGTTTGACGTAGGGTGTCGTGGGGATTCGTAAAACGACAACGGGCGTCGAGACTCAAGATTCGATCGTATCATCTCATATAGTGTGCCATAGTGGGCGACAACCTACGTCGCGTCTGCGATGCTTCGCGACATCACGACAAAAAGACTAGCGGTGTTGGGGAAGCTACTCTGAAACTGTAGTTTGACAAGCTACAAGCTACTCATAAGTTAAAGTAGTTAAACTACAGTCAAGCTACCCTTTTGGAAAAGTAGTTAGCTACACTACAAGTCAAAAAGTAGCTAGCTACATTGAAACTACTTTTGCTTTTTTGAACAACGTATATTATAAATAAATGAATAAGTGTCTGAGAAATGTTTTAAGTATAATATTTAGTGTTTAAAATAATGCAATACAATTATGATTTCAAAGAGCATTGTTTTATTACAC